TTTAGCCCACCTTTCAACCTATGGGAGTTTCTTGTCATGTGAATTGTATGGCTGTTTGTCTTGTCGTGACGGGTCAGGGCCCGCGCCGATTCCAGTGCTTGCGCGTTACGTTTTTGCACGCGCAATCTTATTCTGACCAGGCTGCCGCTCTGGCACCTTCTTGGTGCCTGAGAGAGAGATACAACTCGTCTCCGACACCCCGCCAGACGCTCCTATTGTAATCAATTACTTACAAATCTTACATCTTGACAAAACACCATTCCTGGGGCTTCAACGCCGCGAAGCAGCCTAACTCTCGCGTCCTGACAGTCCTGAATCGCGCCAGAGTGCCATTCCTGTGGCTTCAACATCACGAATCCGCGTGACTGCCTCTTTTCTGAAATTCCTAAATCGTGCAGGAACGCGATTCCTGGGACCCCATGCGAACCCGTGAAATGATTGCAAACTTGTCAGGCGAATGTGCGCGGCGCTACGGCAAGAGTCACAGCCGTAGCCGTTGCACACTTTGAAAGCGAACGCCCGCGGCGCTCAAGCGAGTGCTCGATTTTGAAAACGAGCTGCCCTCCATCCTGCAGGATCATCAATGGTGAAGAAGTTTTGGGCGGAACGCCTGAACCGGCCTACAGACACGTCTGGGGGTGTGACAGGGAGGAGCTATCAATGAGGGAAAGGGATGGAGGAGGACTAGGAGGAGGAGGAGGAGGAGGAGGAGGAGGAGGAGGAGGAGGAGGAGGAGGAGGAGGAGGAGGAGGAGGAGGAGGAGGAGGAGGAGAGGAGGAGGAGGAGGAGGAGGAGGAGGAGGAGGGAGGAGGAGGAGGAGGAGAGGAGGAGGAGGAGGGTGGCAGGGAGGAGGAGAACAAAATAGGGATGAAGGAAAAGGAGGGCCGGGAAGGTGAAGGAAGGATGAGGCTGAACGCGCAGGGCCATGAGGAGTGGGGAGCAGGAGATCGGAACAGGCAGGAGGGCCACGAAGAGTAGGGGGAGGAGGACGATGAGGACAAGGAGGAGGAGGAGGAAAAGGACGAGGAGGAGGAGGAAAAGGAGGAGGAGGAGGGAGACGAGGAGGAGGAGGAGGAGGAGGAGGAGGAGGAGGAGCAGGAGGCGGACGAGAAGGATGAAGGGGAGGATTGGTGTCGACGAGGAAGATGGGGAAGAGGAGGACCGATAAAGGAGGACGAACGCAGAAAGAGTAGTGCAAGGAAACAAAGGAGGTGGAGGACGGGGATGATGATGATGATGATGATGATGATGATGCTGATGCTGATGCTGATGCTGATGCTGATGATGATGATGATGATGATGATGATGATGATGTTGATGATGATGATGATGACGATGACGATGACCATGCTTATGATCATGGGGATGATGATGATGCTGCTGCTGATGATGATGCTGATGCTATGTTGATGGTGCTGCTGATGATAATGAATGCGATGAGACTAATGATGATGGATACTGAAAATGAAGATGATGATGCTGGTGATGATGATGATGATGAGGATAACGAGGAGGCTGATGATGATACTGATGCTGCAGATGATGATGATGATTCTGATGATGATGATGTTGGTGATGCAGATGATGATGCGGATGATGATAATGATGCTGACGATGATGCTGATGTTGATGCTGATTCTGCTGATGATGATGCTGGTTATGATGATGATGATGATGATGATGATGATGCAGACGATGATGATGATGATGCTGATGATGATGATGCTGATGATGATGCTGATGATAATGATGATGCCGATGATGCTGATCACGATATGATGCCGACGACGACAACGACGGCGATGGTGACGGTGAAGGCGACGAAGACAACGCGGATGATATTGCTGCTGCTGATGATGCGATTGTGATGTTGCTGATGATGATGACGATGATGATGACGATGATGATGGTGATGCAGATGACGATGCTGATGCTGATGCTAATGTTGATGGTGATGCTGACGATTATGATGATGATGATTATGATGATGATTCTGATGATGATGATGACGACGATGTTGATGCTGATGCTGATGCTGATGCTGATGATGATGATGATGATGATGATGATGGTGATGGTGTTGGTGGTGGTGATGGTGATGGTGATGACGATGGAGGTGGTGATGATGATGTTGCTGATGATGATGATCATGACGATGGTGATGATGATGATGCTGATGGTGATGCTGATGATGATGATGATGCTGCTGATGATGATTATGATGATGAGGATGAGGATGATGATGATGATGATGATGATGATGATGATGATGATGATGATGATGATGATGATGATGATGATGATGATGATGATGATGATGATGATGATGATGATGATGGTGATGATGCTGATCATCACCATGAGGAGGAGGAGGAGGTGGAGGAGGAGGAGGAGGCGGGATGAGGGTAGACAGGTGCCGAACTTGAAGATTATTCGCATCAACCGTAGTCGGTGCGATCAATTGAGATGGTCACGCAAGTCTCCGGAGGGGAGGAGCGCAGGAGGGCGGAACTAGAAGAGGAAGAGGAGGGGGCAGGTCCGAGGAGGAGGAGGGAGGAGGATTCTGCGGATTCTGCGGGCCAAAACGGATCACGACGCCCTGCGGTTTCGTGCCGTGGGCCGCCTGGCCGCGGCGGGCCGTCCCCGCGCCAACCAGACAGCCTGGGGGAAGCAGATTTCTCCACTCCCTTCGCCTTCTCGCACAAGCCCCCACTTCAGCGTTGTAGCTAAAATGAACTCGCTCGAGACTTAAATTTTTCTCCAGCCTCGCCGCCCGCTTCTCGCGAGTCGCTGGCCCAGAGCTCGCACGCCGTGGCAGCACGCTACCACTGCCTGCTTCTCGCACGCACGCTTGGGCAGCCCCGCTGCCACTGCCTGCTTGCTTTCCCCTTCTCGCACGAGTGGGTTTCCTCCACTCCTGCTCTCGCACAACGGGCTGATCTCTGCACTGTAACTGAGGGTAACTCGTCCGTGCCCTGCCCTTTCGCGCCAGAACCCGTTCGTTGGCCCCTGCACTTCTCGCACGCGCTGCTTCTAGCGAGTGTAGCTAGATAGAGTCGGGCTCCAACTTTGCCTCCCGCTTCTCCCAGCACACTGTGGTGGCTAGGAAGGTGACGTTTGGCTCCAGCTTTGCCTCCCTCTTTTCGCAGCGACTTGCCCAGATCCCAACGCTGTAGATGACGACGTCGGGCTCTGCCTTCGCCCCCCACTTCTCGCAGGATGGCGCTCTTCTCGCACCCACTGTTCCCAGAGGTGTTAGCTAGATGGCGTGTGGCTCCAGCTTTGCTTCCCTCTTCTCGCAGCGGTTTGCCCAGATCCCAACGCTGTAGCTGACGACGTCGGGCTCTGCCTTCGCCTCCCGCTTCTCGCAGGATGGCGCTATTCTCGCACACACTGTTCCCAGAGGTGTTAGCTAGATGACGTTTGGCTCCAGCTTTGCCTCTCTCTTCTCGCAGCGGCTTGCCCCGAATCCATCGCTGTAGCTGTCGACATCGGGCTCTGCCTTCGCTTCCCACGTCTCGCAGGCTGGCGCCCCCCTGCGCCGCGGCAGAACATTGCTCGCTGTTCGCTCGCGCACTGTTCCCAGATGCGTTAGCTAGAAGAGACACTCGGGCTCCAGCTTCGCCCCCCGCTTCTCGCAGGCCCTCCTTCTCGCACGGACGACTCCCAGCGTTGCAGCTGATCGTGGCCCACCCGCGCACTTTGCACAGCGCCAGCGTCTGCTGCCACTGCGCGCTCCCTTTCTCGCACGGATTGCTCCCAGCGTTGTAGCTGATCGTGGCCCACCCGCGCCTTCGTCCCTCTCGCAGCGCCAGCTCTGGCTGTCACTGCTTGCTTGCCTGCACTCTGACCGCGGCGCCGCAACTGTTGGCGCCCTGGTTTGCCAGGAGGTGGAGGAGGGGGAGGAAGGAGCGGAGGAGGGGGCGGAGGGGGGCGGGCTTCCTGGCGGCTGCGCGCTCGCCTGGTCTCAGCGTTGCAGCTGATGACGTTGGGCTCCGCGCTGCTTCTTGACTGAGGCCTGGCCTCAGCATTTCTTCTTTACGGCTCGGGCGCGCAATGCCACTTCGAAGTTGGCGCGCCACATCGTCCAGGAGGCCCGGTGCAGGGGAGGCCGCTCGGACGCGAAATGGCTGGAGGGAGGAGGAGGAGGCGGAAAAGGAGGAGGCGGAGGGAGGAGGGAGGATGGTGGGCGAGGAGCATGGAGGAGAATGGCGAAGAGAGGATGAGGACAAGCTAGGTGCGCTCACGTCATATTGGACATCCTACCCCTCCCACTTGTATCCTTTCCTTTTGCGCCGTTGCTCGCACCATCCGCGGACGCGTGCGGACCTGGAACTGAGAAGAAGACACCATCTTGTTATTCAGAATCGGAAGCGGGGAACTGCGTACATAGGAGGATGAGAGGCGGATGAGCAGGAGGATTAGTAGGTGAAACATGATGAGGATGATCAAGGAGAGGGACGAGTACCAACAGCGACAGCATCAGCAGCAGGAAATCGAGTGGACGGAGGGGGAGGAGCAGGAGGACCAAGGGGGCCAGCGATGAATAAGGACTCGTATCCATGAAAGTGGCCCACACCCGGGCGAGAGCGCCGTTCTGAACGACGAGATCAAAGCCGCGACCCCAACATGGGGTTCACGCTGCAGCGGGAACACCATTTTGGAAGGATGGGTAGCGTTCGGATTGGACAAACAAATCAGTTGGAACACAGCAGCTCGTACACAGCCTCAACGTAAAAACTGTACGCGGTGGCGGGCGCGCGACTCTCTGGAGGAGGAGGAGGGGGAGAAAACGGAGGAGGATGATGAGGAGGAGGAGTCGGAGGAGGAGGAGGAAGAGGGCGAGGAGAAGGGGGAGGAGCAGGAGGAGAACGAGGGCAAGGAGGAGGAGGAGGATCATGAGGGCGAGGAGGAGGGTGAGGAGGATGTCGAGCAGGAGCAACAGCAGCGGGGCGCTCAGCGCGGACCGCTTTGGACTGCGCTCCCCATCCCTTCGCGAGGAGAGCTGGTGCAGCGGCGACGGGACGCGGCTCCGGGAGTTCGGGGCGCCGCCGACGATGAGACGACGATTTCTCGGGTACGGAAAGAATGGGGACGACGACCGACAGCAGGTCTTACCGATCTTTGAACAGGACTCGTGCGTGGTCGGCATCGCTGCAGACGTTGTCCACTTGTGACAAAATGGCGCCTGCCCAGCAGCGGCCGCTGTCGGTTTTGGACAACACCTGCTGTTGGGTGTCGTACGCATTTGTTCCGTACCCATTGCGGGCGTGCCGATGTTCCTCTTCGTCCCTTCCTCCCCCGCCAGCTCCCCCTATCTCTCGTCCTCACATAGAGAACTCCTTGTCCGACCACCAAACGTGTCGGCAGATGGGCCAGTTGTTTCGCCTGAGACGTCCTTCCCGTATATGAGTTCGAAACTAGATGTTTCCAACAGCCACACGGAGGGAGGGGGTGGAGGCGTTTTCAAAATGTACCCGGCGCGATCCCAATTAGGGGCCCTCTGTCTTCCAAACCAGTCCCAAACAGTTCTGAGCGATGCAGAGCATTGCTTGGTAATTTTTGGCATTGCTTGACATCGTTTGGCATTACTTGGCGTTGTTTGGCATTGCTCGGAAGACATGCTTGGCATTGCTTGGCATTGTTTGGCGTTGCTTGGCGTTGCTTGGCATTGCTTGACTTTGCTTGGCGTTGCTTGGCGTTGCCTGCGCACTCTCGAGGAACCCCGCACAATCCCGAGGAACCTCAAGAACCCCCAGAGCAACCCTAGGCAACCCCGAGCTGGGGAACACTGGGCAACCGGACACGGGAGCAACTCGGGGAACGCTGGTGGCAGTCTCTAAATTGGGGCCTCGCACCCACCGGATTCTTTCACAATCATTTGAGAACTCTAGGCCTCGCGCCGCATCGCCGATGCGGCTCGATGTGGAGCCCGATTATCCGTAAGGGCTTCGCCCCCTGCCGCCCGCCCCCTCTCTCAGATAATGGGCAATGCAAGAGCGAAATCATGAGGCCTTGGCGCCGCAGTGAAGCAGCGTCGGGCTTTCACGCGAAGAAGATGAGTAGTCGGCAAGACAAATTGAGATTCGGATGATATTGTTGAATTCGGTGTTGTATTCCGAGGGTTTGTGGCTTCGGATACGCGAATCGCGCGTAATGTACAAATGCTTATGGTTTCGGAGACGCGAGCATTGCGTAATTTACGAGGGTGTATGACTTCGGACACGCGATTATTGATTAATTTACGAGGGTTTATGTTCTCGGGGCTGCAAATATTTCGTCATTTATGCAGTTCTATGGTTTCGGAGACGCGAATATTGAGCAATTTACGAGGGCTTATGGCTTCGGGGACAAGAGTATGGCGTATTTTGTGAAGGTGTATGCCTTCGGGGACGCGAATATCGTGTAATTTGCGAGGGTTTATGGCCTCGAGGACGCGGATCTTATCTAATGTACAAGGGTTTATGGTCTCGGGAACGCGAATTTCAAGTATTGTTATGTGTCCCACGCCCACCCCCAGGAATTCAGAGCACCCGATTCGGGCGTGGTAACTAGGTTCCTTCTCGACTCCCCCTCCCTCGCGCGGTCCATCAACGAGGAACAGTAAGCAGCAAGAAGCAGAACTGTAACAGTGGAAACTGGAAACTGGAACTGGCGCAGGGAACAGCAAACCCTCGTCCTACAGCCTGGTGGCCCCGCAAGGGGTCCGGCAGATCTCCGCGTTTCCGTCGCCGATACACCGCCAACGTCGCCGATGCATTGGCGATGTGGCGCGATCCTCCAAGCCCATCTATTCATGGCTTTGGCGACGGCGCGCCAAATCCGTGGATCAGTAATCCACGTTTGCGCGCCCCCGATTGAGAGCCCCCGAACTTGGTGGTGAGATATCAGGTGTTGACCAGGAATCCCCCAAGAAGTCACTGCCGGGTTTTGGAACATGGGGTCGCCGCCAGGTTTTGTATCTCCTGGACCCACCAGCGTCCGGGACATCCCCCAAAAACGCACGAGTCGCCAAACAGGGTGGTGACACCAATAGCCCGAGATTCACCGCCGGGTGTTGTCACCACCACGTTTGGGGACTACCAAGAGACGGGGGTCAACGCAAATGGGGGCTTCCGTCAGAGCGCCGGATCTGGCAGGATTCTGCAGAACCAGAGCTGGATTGACCCGGGCTAAGGTGCAGGGTCCTGCAGGGCTTTGCAGGATCCTGCAAGGCCCGATTGACCCGGGTTTGCATTGACCTAGGTCAGTGCGTCCCCGATGACGGCAAAGGGGGTTGGCCTCCTCAGAGGGCGGAGAACGCTTGGAAGGTTTCAGAAGGCGGGAGGTCTGCTGAGAAGCCCCGCCGCCTTTGAGATGGCCGACCTCGTCCCCCCAGGGCGCGCCGCCGAAATAGTGCACACCAGCCCAACAAGAATTGGAGTAATGCGCAAGTCATCCATATAGTCGTGAGATCCAGGTGTCCCAGTGTATGTTTCTTGTGACGGTGCTGGAGCACACGTTGCCGAAGATTGGCCATGGAGAGAATCATGGTAGTCCAGGTGGCCGTGGTTTCTCGGATGAGCGCCACGCCACGCCAGCCTTCGGCGCGTGACGCCGTCGGTTGGTACTGTGATGCCCCGCCGAAAATGGCCACCATTGGCAGCGCATGCCCGGTGCACGTGTTCCAGCGTCAGGGTCGTAGTGTCCGCCGCAATGGTCGCAGATGGCAGGGCTCGTGTCGATTCCTCCGATTCGATTCAAGTTCGATCGCTTCCGATTCTTATTCGATTCGACTTGGGATTCCGATTTGGACTCTGTTCCTCAATGGGGGTCGTACTAGCCTGCCGATTTCCGCTGATCCGACTTCTCCTGACTGTGCTGCCGATTTCCGCCGATCCGACCAGACTTATTGATTCGATCCTGGGCTCTCCTGGGGTCGGGCTGTCCGCAGCAGTGGCCGCAGATGGTTGCAACCGCTCCGCCCCGGTTTGACAGCGGAGAAACGTCAGGCACGACGCAGCCACACAGGACCGCGGTAGGGTGGGATGCAAGAGGAGGGGGTTAGGGTTCCGAGCTTCTCTGCCGCTCAGGGAGCGGCGGGCGGGAAGAGCACGCCCGCGGCCAGGGGGCTCTCGCAGCGACTGCGGTTCTGCAGTATGGCCCTCTGAGCTCGTGCAGCTGCGTGTCTGTCCTGTCGGGTGAGACGTGGGGGCCCGTCCGGCCCTTCAGAAGTCGTCTTCCTCTCGCGTGGCTCCCAGCGAGCTCAGGTGCGCGCGGTAGGCCTGCGGAGTATTCGTACGTGCAGTTCTTGTCGCAGCCGCACGCGAAGCGCTACTGGGGGGACCGCGCATTAGAGGTCGCCGAGGTTCTCCCTCGTGGCGCTGTACGACGAGCGCACCCGGTCCGATCTCCAGAAACAGGATATGAAGCCCTGCACCCAGCCAGGGTCCTTTGGGACCAGGTGGGCCCCTCGCTCCAGGTTTTTTGGTTGTGTGTGTATGTGGTAAGGTGCCACCCTGTTCACCAGTGCGTTGGACAGTCTTTGGCTGCTGCGCGGAGGCCTCGACGTTTAGTTCTGTATGGGGTTCTGCCATCGCTGCTGGTCGCAGCAGACGGACGCTGTCTCGCGAGATGCATCCCCTCTGCCCTGATCCTCCCGCTCCTTCACGCTATAAGCGTCTTCGCTTCCAAAGCTGAAGGTTCGACCGAGGGGCCTCCAGCCTACAGTCAAGACGCGGACATGACTACGATTTTCGGCTCAGGAGGGGCTGTGTTTTTTGGGCCGTTCCTTAGATTTGGGCCCAGGGATTTATTCTTCACCGAAGCTCGCCGTGGCCTGGAAAACTTTCTCGTGCCTTACTCAGCGCTCCTCCATTACAGGGGGGCGCGCATCAAGAAATCAGTTGTGTTTCATCAGGGTATCCTGAATTTCTTCGCTCCGCGCGCTGCGCGGTGATTTCCCGCAGCCTTTGAAGAAGCTGCTGCGTTCAGGGTGTTCCCGGTTTCCCCTCAGGTGCATCTCGCGCGCGGGTTTTCAGGGTTGGGTTTCTCACGAGGGCTTCATGCGGCCGGCCAGCACTGCATGGTAGCACAATGGCTGTACGAGTTCCCTTCGTCCTGCCCAGCTCTCCCGAGCCCGCCCACGAGGAAAGAGGCGAGTGAGGCCTGCTGGCAGGCCACCCCCGGGCACTCCTGCCGCTGTTGCCGCGCGATTTGCCCGCAGAGCTGGGCCCCCTCCTCCTTCTCCTCCTCTTCCTCCTTCCCCTCCTCCAGCCCCCCTGGCCCAGACGATGACAGGAGCGGGGGTTCAGCACACCACCAGAGGGTGTGGAGGAGTCGTCGCACTCCTCGCCGCGACGCGCGAGCCTGATGGCGCTGGCGCCTGCGAGGTCAGCCCTCCGCGTCCTTGGCTACAACCCCCAGAGCGCCACGGGGTTGCGCCTCATCGACATCCTCGCCTCCACCCGATCTTTTGATTGTCTCCTTCTTTCAGGCACAAAGGAGTCATGCAGGAGAGGAGGAGGGGTACTACGACGTCGGGTGGAAGGGCGGCTACTCCTAGAAACTGTGTATCAACCAGGGGCCTACACTAACAACAGTACAGGATGTGCTATTGTGCTGCCCCCACAGTATCGGGAACGGGACGTCGTACAAACATGGGGATCACCCACTCATGCTGGGGGGAGGGCCGTCGCTGCCAGAGTCAAACGAGGAGCTGTAGATGTTACTTTTGGTGTGTTATATTTTCCCCCACAACCGTCAAAGCGGGGACAAGCTGGAGCGTATTATGGGGCCGTGCAGTCTCTAACAAAGTGGTGGCGGTCAGTGCTGCAAGAAATCCCATCCAGGACACTTCCGATTTTTTACGCCGACTTAAACGACGGGCTGGGTCTGAGCAAAATCTCGGGGATCTGGGAGGCACCTATTTCGAGTTCAGTAGGTGAGACCAGGACCCAGGAGGCTCGTCGCAGAGGTGCCGGAGAGGAGGTTCGTAAACTACTGGATGAACAACACATGGTAGCACCGACGACATTCTTACCATACGAGCACACCTTTTACTCAT